TTTACAAGACCTCAGGGGCAGGGGGCTGGTGGTCTTGAACCTTGGTTTCCATGAAGGAGACTAATGGGTCCCCTTGTCTGGACACCTCGCCAGCTGCCAACCCCCTCCCCCATTTCCTTCCCCCAGATGACTCAGGAAAGCCCTCACTGCCCTGACATACACTCACCTGACTACATTTGGCTCTGCCACACAATTTTGCAAACTGCCACCTGCCCGGGATCCAATAGCCCTGGGGACAAATTTCAGCTCAAAGTTTCCTTCCGAATTCAGGATGTCAGAATGAGCCGAGTTCTGGGGGGACCAGGAAACCAACGTAGACGGTCCCCGATTGAGTGAGGGTGTGTGAGCTGACTGCTTTCGGTTAGAAAGGGGGTGTTTTCCTGTGCGTTTTGCTCTCGGCGGCTCGTGAGTGGAGAGAGGACCCTCTCTGGTTGCCTCTCTGGGTGAGAACCGCCCACTGAAAGCCGTTGGGAACACCAGCGCCATCAAGAACCAGTCAATGTGTTGCCAGCAGTTTGATGGCATCTAACCATTTCCGGTGAGGCGCCCAGGACAGGGGTCCAGCTGACTCTGTGTCAGAAACCCGATGCCTGTCGGACCTTCAGTGCACGTAGGACACGCACAAATTCGGTTGGAAACGGTTTGGTTCATTGTTTCAAGAGAGTAAATATTTGAGCAGAAACCTCCTAAGAGTGGCACTACCCACTAAAAGCTTGTCGAGCCCCCAGAATGCTCCAGAGAGAAGAAAAGGCTGAGAAAAGGTCAGGTGTCTCAGGCGTCGCCAGCCTGATCAGTGATGTGGAACAGGAGGTGCCCCCAGCACAGTGGGCCCGGCCATCTCGGGCTTAACGAGGGCAGACATTTCCATCAGTAGGAGCTGAGCTTGGGGAGCAGGAAGCGGGCTGTGCGGGCGGGAAGGGGCCTGACGGGGGCGTGCCATGTGAGTGTGGCCGCTCTCGGACCCGACACTGGACACGCACTACCTCTGCCATGTCCTGCCCCAGCGTGCACACCCTCGTCTGGGCATCCATTGGAAGAAAGGGGTTCCCAGCTCGGGCAACAAAATTCCAGTCACTCACAGCGTGGCACGGTGGCTGGTGGAGTTGAGCAGAGCAAGAATGCAGTGAGGGTCCTCTGCGATTAACAAGGAGCAGTTACAAGGAGAACGAATCAAAATTATGAGGAAAGGAGANTGACTCTCTTCACAGGGATTCCAAGGCAAGACCGGCCCCCCAGGTCCTCCAGGCGTGGTCGGCCCGCAGGTGAGATACCCCGACCCCGGGTTTTGCTGGTTATCCTGTGTCACCCACCCATACACGAGAGAGGGTCATGGCTCAGGTATCAGTTGCCCCATGGTTCTGAAGGTGGGGGTGTTGCTAATAGAAACTCTAAAGTCCCATAATGCTTGTTAACTTTCGGAGATGTGCTCCGTACAGGAAACCAGATGGCAGGAACCGAGGACGTGGTCGCCATGAACCCGACAGGCAGAACAAAAATGGCCTCCCAAGGCCCTCGGGCACGTGGGGCCAGACCAGGGCTGGGCTTGGCGTGTGGCTTCCACCCCACGGGTGGGGGCCAGCTGTGCCTGCTTGTCTTGCTCTTGGTGTCCATGGCAGCCTAATTCTGCCCCTGGGTCCTGTCAGTGCCCACGGGCCTGCTGTCCAGATCAATGACAGGAATGGCTTGCAGCCAGGACTGATGGCGTAGAGCCACGAAGCAGACCAGCAGTCACCTGTTTCTTGGGACGTTCACACCTAATGTAGCGGTAAATGAGATATTGAGCTGCCTCGGCCACCGGCCGCGGGGGACGTGGGCACGTGCCTCTCCTGGGGCAGACTTGGCCACCGCTCACTCGCCTCCTTTCCCCGGGAAACGCAGGCCTTGTCCCGCTGTCAGAGAAAGCAACGCCAGACCACGGTGTGGGGCCAGGCTGTGGGTTTGCTTTGATCCTCTCTTTTCTGGATTTTTACCAGAAGAAGACTTGCAAAGCAGCATGGAGGTTTGGTGGGCACGCAGTGGCCCTTTGCTTCTGCGGCCAGGGCTGCCCTTACGTTTAGGAAGAACAGCTTGCTCCCTCGTGTGTCCCTTGAAATTCGTGGCTGATGCCGATTTTCCCCAACAGGGCCCCACAGGAGAAACTGGTCCAATGGGTGAGCGTGGCCACCCTGGGCCCCCGGGCCCCCCAGGTGAACAGGGGCTCCCGGGCCTTGCTGGGAAAGAAGGGACGAAGGTGAGTTACTCAGCCCTCCCATGCCAAGCCGGACTTCTCCTGCGTGATCATTTCGTCACTTTATCTCTGTCTGCTGCTGTTCTTTTCTGATGAATGGGTTAATTTCTCAAACGAATGTTCTTTGTGCCAGCCTACTCCCCAGACCATGAACTTGGCTCTGCTTCTACTTGATTTGAAAGAGGACGTGAGCTGACCCCCTGCAGGAGCCGGGGGTCAAACCATCCTTGGCCTTCTGCCCTGGGCTGTGCTTTGTTACCAGCCCTTTCCCAGCAGTTACACCTGCTCCCAGTAACGGCTAACACACTCTGACACTTCCTATGTCTAAAACGAGTTTAGTAGACTGTGACCCTTTAAAAAATCCCTGACCATTAGAGACTAAAGAATAAATAATAAAAAGAGAGGGCGGCTGCATTGCTCTCATACCTGCGAGCACCAGCTCTGCGCCCCTCTCTGTTTCTCGGGAAGCCTCGCCCTGCCAGCCTGGGCACCCCAAGTGGGTGGTCGTAATTCGATAAACATGAGTAGTCTTCTCTGTCCAGCTTTTCAGTAACGGACACAGGAAATATAAGCTCTCTGGCCTTTTTTATGATTACACTCAAGAGAATAATCTTAAAAAATAATAAAGCAGAGCCGATAAAGACATACTGACAAAATTACACGCACTTATGTATGTATGTATATATGTACGTACTTGAATACACGTACGCACTTGAAAAGTGTACACATACGTATGTTTGTAGAGAACAGACACAGAAACAGGCATAAGTGCGTCACAAACAGAGCTCTCTGAGTTCAGAAAGGAGGCCAAGGCCATGCTGGTTTGGAGACCCCCATGCTCCCATGTTGGACCCCAGAGAAAACTGGAACATATCAAAGCTTTAATGTAACTCCAGGAAGTCTACGCTCAGATGAAGCACCTTTTCAGATAATGTGGTTTTAGGGTCGAAGCAAGTGTCTGTGGTGACGAGTCCATTTGGGGCATTGCTTCCACCACTTGGGCCGGATTCCTTTCTCTGAGCACAGCCTTACGAGGAGCCCTGAATCTCTGAGAAGGCAGACTTGGGCAGGGCAGCCTCCCGGCCCTCAGGTCCTGCTCAGCCCATGTGGCCCCGAAGGACTTCCGGGAGGGTCGCAGATAGAGTCGGGGCCAATGTGCTTCTGCAGCAGCGGCTAGCCAGCGAGTGGGTCAGGGCTCAGATCCCCTTAGAGCCAAGCGCCCAGGAAGCCCCACTCCTGCCCCAGCTCCCCATAGACACTGGGTGTTGCTCAGATGAAGCTGTGGCTCTGATTTCAGGGTGACCCAGGCCCCGCCGGCCTCCCTGGGAAAGACGGCCCTCCAGGATTACGCGGCTTTCCTGGGGACCGAGGGCTCCCTGGTCCAGTGGTAAGTGAGGGGCCCAGTGGGGGATGGAGCGGGACACTGCCCAGATCTGGTGGCCTCTCCTCGTGGCGCCCCTGACGACGGACTCGTTACTTTGCAGGGAGCGCTTGGACTGAAAGGCAGCGAAGGCCCTCCAGGCCCACCCGGCCCCGCGGTGAGTGGTGCTGGCCCAGCACAAGCATTTTAACACTTTGTTGCTCAAAACGGGCGCTGTAGGCAAGACAGGGCAGTCCCAAGGCCTGTGAGAGGGCACGGCTGACCTGGTCCCGCCCCGGGTCCTAGGAAGGCCAGAGTGGAGTGGAGGACATGGACTTGGATGGGTGTGGACAGTGCATCCTGAGCTGGCAGCTGGGGTGACAAGGAGCCAAGGGCATGTTGCATGAGGAGAGGTGGGGAACTGGGCAGTTTGGAGGGAGGGCTGAGTGGTGCCACCGCACCACTGAGGAGCAGGGAGCAGCTGACGTGCTTCGTGTGGGTCTGGACCAGGAGCAGCTGGGAAGGGAACGGACACAGGCCTCCAGGGCCTCTAAACATGGGTCCGAGAGTCAGGCTGTCCACATGTCCAGGGCCGCCCGAGGCACAGCTGTGGGATCCGTCCCCAGAGCTGGGGTGGGGGGCTTCTTACGTGCTGTCTATTACACTAAATGGTCCCTCCTGACTTTAAGATTCCAGCTGTGAGGGGATCCCAGACCCTTAGCTGTGGCCTCGGGGACTGAGGGCCATGTGAGGCTATGCCCACCTTCAAGAGGTGCACAGCCCTGGCCTGGACCCCCGTTCTTGGTGATACTTTATGGAAATGTAACACCTGCTCTACTTCCCTGTCCTTCGAATGGGGCCCCTCTGACAGCCCCCTTTGAGCAGCATGGATGTGGGGCAGCAGGCGTGGCCCGTGGGCCCTGGCTGGGTTTGAGAGTGGACCATGAAATAATACCGCCTTTCCCCTGACTGAGTGTGGGCCATTTGAGTGCCCCATCGGCAGTGCCCCAGGGGCAGTGCCTCCATAGGACATGGAGGGGCAGGGAAGAAATAGCACTGTATGGGCAGGCAGGCGGACCCCAAAGCAGAGTGGGGGTCAGGCCCCAGAAGGGGCAGCTCCAGGAAGATTTCATTCCAGGAAACACTTAAGGAGGATGTATTCTCAGTCACTCTCGGGGGGATAGCGGTGTGCTGGAATTATGGGAGAGGGGAGCTAAGAGGAGGCCAAGGACAGCACCTCAAATACCGCACCACATCGTTTGTGTTAGCCCTAGGGAGCTACTGGGGGCGCCAGAGTAAGGGGGAGCGAGCAGCGTGACTGGGCAGCCTGAGAACCTTTGGAATGAAACATTTTCTCGCCCCACACCAGGGATCTCCGGGGGAGAGAGGTCCGGCCGGTGCCGCTGGGCCCATCGGAATTCCAGGGAGACCTGGGCCTCAGGGACCTCCAGGGCCGGCGGGAGAGAAGGGAGCTCCTGTAAGTTCTGCCTTGAGACGCCGTGGGAGGGAGGGGGTCCCAGGGAGGGAGGGGGTCCCACACCCTGTTCCTGCCGTTTCCCTGGGCTTTGGCGGGATGGGGGACGGGGCTGCAGCACATCCTCCAGGAAACGGTGTGTGCTCCAGGCGGCTTCACTGAG